CAGCAGGCTGCCAGGAGCCCAGCCGTGCCCCAGCCCAGTGGCATTGGCCGGGAGGAGAGCCTGCCCTTCATGCTGGACCTGCAGAGCTTGCCGGGGCTGGCCAATGTAGACCTGAGTGCCCAGAACCCCAACATCCAGGTGAGGAGGAGGTCTGGGCAGGCTGCAGGGGGATGTGAGTGAGTACTGTGTGTGCTCCCCAGCCTCCTTTGGTTCCCTAAGAGGAATGATTTCATGAGCAGGGTCCACGTGGCCACTGCCATCTGTCTTCTTGGTAACTACCAGATGCAAGTAGCTGTCACAGACAAGCTCCTTGCCAGAGGAATTTGGTCATGGCCTTTTCCCTGCCGTGTGACAGGCCCTCTCCGTAGAGCAGAGCAAACTCTACAGGGGTGACCTCTCAATTTCTGAGGAGGGTGTTGGTCCGTGCGTGTGACCACCAGACCCCCTGCACCTCGTGCTCTGCCCTTGCTCAGTCCCCCTGGATGAGGCAAGACCTCTTGCACTCATCACGTAGTCCTGCAGCCCAAAGTGTCTTTGGCGTCTCGGGCTCATAACCAGTGCATGAGCTCGTAACCAGTGCATGGGCTGGTAGGTCTGTCCCAGGGCTGTGCCTGGGCTCACTGCTTTGCCTCATATCTGGCCTCCAGGTGACCATCGAAGTGGTGGATGATCCTCAGGCCGAGATGGAGATGGACTTGTTGAAGGACACAAGCAATGACTGGTCCCTGACATCCTCTGAGTGGCTGTCCCACAAGGACCTCTTCTGGCCCCTCTTCTGGGAATACACAGACCCCGCTGAGGAAGAGGAGGAGGAGGAGGGAGAGGAAGAGGATGACAACCTGGATGTAGGGGACAGGGAGGAGGAAGAGGAGGAGGAGGAGGAGGAGGAGGAAGATTACACAGCAGAGTATGAGGAGGAGGAGTCCATGCTCAGTGGAGTAGGAGGTGACTGGGACCAGCGGTGGCCGGGGCAGAAGAACTGGATCTTTAAGGAAAAATATAATTACGGTGAGTCCTCTTGGGCATGCACAGCTGCCCTGCAGACCGTCACTGTCCTCCCCTGCCCTGCCTGACTGCTATCACACTGCGCTGGTGCTCAGCTCCTACTTAAAAAATAAGCAAGCACGCCAAGGAGCAAGGCCAGCAGCCAGCTGGGGCTGCCAGTGGTCAGACACACCAGCAGCACAGCGGGAACTGCCCTTGCATGTAATCAGACTGGAGCGTGGATTCCAGTGAAGGCGTGCTCCAATGAGAAATACACCTTAAATGTTTAATGGCAAGTGCTGCTGCCATCGACTCAGGTCCCTGTGGTGACATCAGTGCCAGAAGCCTTTGCCAAAGACTTGAGCACCCCAGGAGAGGAGCTGCAGAGGTCTAGATGATAGGTGCCAGTGGGCAGAAAGGCCAGGGCACTACAGCAGCTCCCTCCTGTAGCTTCCCAGCCATAAGCCCAAAACCAGTCAACCTTTGCTAACACTTTGCTAACGGCCAGTGCATTGGGCAGGTTCAGTGAGGATGGGGATGAGCAGCGATGCCTGTCTGGGTCAGTACGACCATGAGCAAAGCTGTGAGAATGCCAGCCTTTGCTCAGGGGCTGCTTCCCTTGGGTTGCCAGCAAGGACAGAGTGGGCTCTTGGCATCATGTGGCCAGCGCCTCCATGTTCTGGCA